TATATTTGATTATTTGGTCATAATCGGATCCCGGTTCAAACGGCTGCATTTTTAAAACGATGTATTTGGGGTGTCACACAGGAGCTGATGAGTAATGAGGCTCCACCCCACCCAGGCCCCCACCCAGGCCTTAAATCGCACACACGCTGGAACGCGGGGCAGCGCGGGTTCCACGGAGGGAGCGCCACAAACACGCCACGCTTTTAACCTTGGGTTTATGCATGCAGATGAGCTCCCGGAAAATGGATGCAATTATAATCAGCCGCCATGCTGCTCGCTGCTGATGAGGCTCCGAAGCTGTGATTTTAGAGCCATGAATCCCCAACGAAGTGTAATGACTGATTAAAATAGCCGTGGGAGGCAGCCGGAATCGCTTCCGCCATTAAATTTCTTATACATACAAAACTGAGATAAGAACCTCCTCTCACCGCTTGCAAGAGTTCTTGTTTTCCATAAATATTTGACAGTGTGGCTTTATCGGATGGAGAAACACTTAAACAGTTCAAGTAACTGAAAGCAGTGGACAGAGGTACATAGGGACTGTGTAGTCATAATTGGGATCTGTTCGGTTTTATTTTTAACCTATGACTGGGGGCACTGTTATGAGAGCACCTGGTATTTTTCTCATCAGTGTGCTCACTATGCATTAGTGTGTAGGAAGAAAGATTGAACTTTTTGCTAATGTAATAAAGCCTTTATCAAGTATTGCATAAGTCAGCTGATTAAGTGGCAAAGTGGCTTGATAGCATTGCATCAGGGCTGTTTGATGTCACACTCCATTGTCGTTTCAATGAAATCTACGCTTTGTGACAATGGCCCTTGTTGGAAACGTTATATAAATTTAAATATAATGATTTCCACTAGCGAGTGTTCAGCTTACAGTATTTGCTGTATTTCTTTGCCGCCACAACTCTTGCTTTCGAAATACATTTTGTTCTATGTTTAATTTGAGAAGTATTTATATCACAATGCAATTACCAGTCATCACTGGCCATCTTCGGGATTGTTACCTAGGAGACAACACTTCTTTAAAAATCATGGATATAATTACAAAAAAACAAAGCAGCCTCAAGAACTGCTACAGGAGGCTTTCTTTTTGCACAAAGTACTTGTCCCACCATGCAGTCCAAATGGCACATAGATGTATCACTAGGTGCCACACAGGGACTTACAAGGTTTCTCATATATGACACATTTACAGAAAAGGCCATTGTGAGACAATAAAACGTTCCATAGCTTTACATTTTTTTCTTTTTGTTTGCTATATATTTAGATATAGACAGGTGATGGAAGCAAGGCAGTCTGTTAAAATGTTAAAATGGCAAAAGAGACAAAGTAGTAGTTGGATTTGTGTTGGGGAGCAAGCATATTATCTATCTATCTATCTATCTGTCTTTTCTAGCGATCATTTGACAATGCTAGTTCTGAAGTGGTGAGTTAGCACATTACATGGGATGTGAGTGGGTGGAGGGACAATAATGAACGACAATTTCCCGAACGTCCTCTCAGGTGTCCCCGAACAGCACAGAAGGAAAACTCCGAATCGTGCGTCAGCACAATGTGGACCTCGCCTACACAAGCTAATCCCTCCTATCAGTGGGCGAGCCAGCGAGAGGCTCAGCGCATATTCTCCATTTTGGGTGGATCGCGGGCCATTCTGTGCAACTGCACAGCACCCTTCTCACATTTGGAATCTCCATCCCGTCTTGCCCGCGAATCGAGCAGTCAGGACAAGGTGCGCTTGACAGAGGAGAGATGGACTGGCCACATTGTTTGGAGGGGGGCGTGGACGAACCAGATGAAGGGGAATGTTCAATCGATGGTGTGAAAACAGGGGAGATGTCATGGATGGATCAGCAGGTCAGGGGCTTCGAGGGGGGGGTATCGGCTGGTGTCTGGAGGGGTGCAGCCAGCCGCAATGCCGACGTAAAGCGGGCATTCACGGTGCCCATGTGGGGGCGGCAGGCCTGGCATAAGCATGGTGGGGGCTGTAAAATTATAATGGAGCTCAGGCTGCTGATGTAGGAGATGACTAATGTGGTGGGGGGGGGGCTAGGGGTGGGCGGGCCTTGAGATCGCAGACCCGGTTTCTGTACCATAGCCTTCAGCACCCTACAAATGAGTAGCACTGCCAAAGCCTCGATCACGGGGGGGCATCCACAAGTTCATCCCTAAAGCCACCCCCATTTCATGTCCCCATCTCATGCTGAAAGGCGTGTGGGAGCGGAGTGCAGTGAAATACAGGCCCGGCTTCTGATACTTTCCTGAGGATTTTATCTATCTGCCTAAAAATAAATCTCGGCTGCGCAGGCAAGGAACTGGGATGAGAGTGCTGGTATTTTTCTGCGGGCTCGAGGGGAAGGAGGGGCCCTGTCTGTCTGGGATTAGAAACACGCAGAGAGGTGACAGGTACAGGCTGCGTGGACATGGAGGGGCCGCCTGGTGGCTCGCAAAGCCCCATCCCCAGCTGCTCACCATGCTTCCTTCGATTCAGTAGTTCTATGTGTAGGAAAAAGGATGCAGGTTAACATGAAAAGCCCATTAAAGGCAGTGCTGTGCTTCAGTGCGATTTCCTGGGAAAGCGTGGGCTGGAGTTTGGCCGTATCATTTCGGGGTGGAATTCCCCTTTAAGGCTGGAATTGCCTACCGCCGCCAACGCGCAGAGCAGGAGCAGGCGTGGTCCTTCCCAACATTCACTCACGGGACGTCAGTCCCCCAGGTGAGCTAGCTGCAGTCTGGGGGGGTCCAGGCGTCTCTCTACAGGCCGCTCTCAGGGGCCACTCCTTGTGGGAGGTGGGAAAACCCTGTCACAAGCAGGCTTTGGGGAACGGCACCGAAATGGGGGCAGGTCGTTTTCTACTCCTGCTGATGTGCACTGGATGCCAAGCTGGGTTCTATTGAAATTCTGCGAGGGTGCATCTCAGAGAGAGAGGTGTCCATTTAGATAGATAGATAGATAGATAGATAGATAGATAGATAGATAGATAGATGGATAGATGGATGCAACATCAGACATGAACTACTACAGTTAAAAGTGCAACTACATACAGAATAGAGAAATATGGATGACACATATAAAGCATGAATGTTAATTTCTTCATTTTACTTAATAATCCCACCGAATGTGTGTCCTTTATGCCTTACAGGACAGTAATTTCTATAACAAGCAGGAAAAGTCCAAAGAATATGCATTGAGTTATATGCACTGCAGCTGTAATGTTTGGGGTACAGTGGTCTGCATTAGTCACTCAGATTTGCCCGGCTTGCCAGGAGCCGGCAGATACTGTCATATTGCACTGCACCAGCATTATTATAGCCGAGTATCTGAGGACAAGGGGAGGAAAGGACGAAAGGAAGAGCGGCACCGTGTCCTTCCTGCCGCCGTGTCGGGTACGCCAGCTTTCAGGGCTTTCGTCTGGGATTCCAGAGGTAACAAGGGGAAGAGAGCTTAAAGGGAGCGGAAAGTGTGGCGCATTCTGTGTGCCATGGCGTCGCTCGCTCGTGCTGTTTGTGCTGTACAGCTGATGGTTCTGTTTAGGGCTTTTTTCTTTGATGAAAGAAGAAGGCCGTACAAAACGCTGGGAATGCTACAAAGGCGTCTCCCCCAGCACGGCCGAGAGTCCTGTGCGGGTTTGAGGGCAGCACAGAACAGACCGCCGCAGTTTAGGAAAAGACACCCCCCGCCACCCCCCCCCCCCCAGTGCGCGCTCGCGAACATCCTCAGAATAGCAGTGCCAGTGGTGAGCTCATCACGCTGCCTCTCCTGGGTATCCCGGCATCAGGCGTGTGCTGGAGGATCTCCGCCGCCGCATCACAGTCGGTGTGCGGCTGCTTCTTAGGAGCACTCCGGGCCTGAGAGAGGTGGGCGGGGGGGCTGGGGAGGCCGAACGTCAGACGAGAGAGAGGGTAGCTGGTCCTGTGCTGGAGCTGAGGGCGTTACACTTCACATTTATTCTATCAATGTTTAATGTGAGTCTCTACATTCTCTGCCATAATAATAATAATAATAGGATCTAATATCTTTATACAACCATAACTAAAATCTTTCCTATGGAAACTGACTGGGAAATATAATTTGTGGTGCCTTTCACTGTAGAATGTAGAAATGATGTGTTGAGCAAGTTCTCTGATTTGAGTATAGCCCATACTACATGTTTTACATAAAATGAACAGAGAGGAAGACATTTATTGCAGCATAACCCTGTGAAATTTAATTAAAAAAAATAAACAATAATAAAACACAAGACCTGCAGAAGATACACACACGTACGATGGTTGTATTCGATTTGGAGCAGTGAGACGGCACAGTACCGACTATTAGGGGTTTTACTGCAGCAGGAAAGGAAAGTCGGTGGCTAGATATTTGGAAATTTACGGTAACTATAGCCTTCCTGCGGCTGTGGTACGGCCCTGATTATAACTTAAGCAATCTGGCGGAGCCCCGAGGGGCCCCCATTCTCCGACACACTTGACTGCCGGCCCATTAACACTGCGTCTGTCATCTACGAACACCGCTTTTAATTAGGATCAGCGGGTGAGAGGCTCAGCAGCCGACACGGAGAGAAAAGACAAAATGCAATGCTGCAATTAAACAAAAAAAAAATATATATATATGTGTGTATATATATATATATATATATATATATATATATACACACACACACACACACATGTATACATGTGTGTATATATATATATATATATATATATATATATATATATATATATATATAGTCTGGAAGTGAAATTAAATAAACTATTTGTTTGGTTTATAAGACTGACTGGGAGAAGTATGTTTGAGGTATGTGAGGGAATTTAAAAAAAAACACCAATATGAATGAAATTGGTTTTAATGCTTTCCGTAAACATAAAACTGCACGTGAAAGAAATGGACAATATAATGATAATAACGATGACCATCATGGCAACCATTGGTTACATGATGGGGAAATACCTTTATATTCCTTTTGGGTAACAATTTATGTTTTTTTTTTCTTTAGAAACTAAAGGTTGGTGAGAAGTTCTGAGGAGTTCGCTCTGGAGTACAGCTTCCACTGCAGACCGAGGAAAAGGAGTAGAGGCAAAAGGTTTGGGACAAACAAGAGTCACAGCCGCCACCACGTAACCTCAGGTACGAGTCATAGCCGCTACCACTGAACCTCAGGTACGAGTCATAGCCGCTACCACTGAACCTCAGGTACGAGTCACAGCTGCCACCACGTAACCTCAGGTACATCTCACACAATCCATTTCTCACTCTGACAGCAATCCTGTTGACTTTGGAGTATTTGCTCCCATTCCCTCCTCAGCAAGCCCAGTTTTTGGAGGCGTGAGAGAGGTGTTCTGCGTTTACTACCTCCCCATCTACAGTCCCATGTGGAATGCTCAGCTAGCCCTTATTAGCTTTGGCTAAAATGAGTCAGCTAGGCTAAGAGCAATGAGCAGACAGGAAGAAATACGAAGCCAAGCTTTCTTTGTGTCTTTCCTCCCTCAAACAGGAAGCCTTATTGGGCTCCCAACTTTGACAGGATATGAATCCCTGTTTCATTTAGCAGCCTGTGTGTTTCCTGTGCCCTGCCGTGTTCAGCCACACTCGTCCTGCCCTTTCGTGATGACCTCTCCCCACGAAAAAACAAAAGTTATAGCTTAACACCTCCCTGCGACTCGGATGTGCTGTCCCCCTCTCCAGCGTGCGGCTCCATACTGACGGAGCTACCAGTTTGTGTTCATTATCAGGGGAGCCATATGCTCTGTGATATTCTCTCCTGAAGTTTCAAGGTGACACCAAGGGAAGAGATAACGATGCCTTCATGGTTGACACCGCTGTCTCCTCGGTCTCTTTCTCTGTGGAAAAAAATGGGGGGAAAAAATAACGAAACCCACCAGGACTAGATTCCGAAGTCCCCGGAGTTTACGTGTATGGCGACGTGATTCGGTTTCGGGCTGACGTGTTTAACTACTGACACTTTTGCGTTCTCATCTCCATGCTAATGAGAGCTGCACAGACCCGCACATGTGCAAACAAAGCCGAAATGGAATTACAGCCTGTTTGAGTGCAATATCCTCAAAATAACGTAATTAAGCTACTTCGTTAGGATCACCTATTTTAGGGGTCATAATGTCAATCAAGCCTAGTTTCCCCATGGTTATGGCACAGAATTTAAACCACCACCAATCCACTGACCCCCTCCCAAAAAATTTTAAATCATCTCAGATCCCTTCCTGTCTAAGAAGATTTATGAGAGAAACCTCGCGATGCTATAATTAAATTAATTCCAAAACAACCATTTCAGTTAAAGTAAGAACGAATAGAGGGTGGGGGTGGGGTGACAATGGCTTCATGGTCCATCTGAGCGGTGACAAGTGCACTCAGACATATGGCAGGTGAGTGGGCGTGAGGCAGCTCCGCTCCCTTCCGTGGTTCTCCGCGAAGAAGGCCCTTCGTGACTGACTGCTCGCCAACGCTTCTTGCGGCATCCACTTGTTGCCGTGGCAACAGCAGTGTTTCTGACTAATGTATTGGGCGAAAAATGATTTCAAATAATTATTAAATAATTATTATCGTTATTTCTGTTGTTGACGGAACGTGGGCTGGGGGTTATTTATTTATTTTTCCGTCTACTAATTTCTGATATACTTGTTGCCATGCAGAATCTTCATTCCGAACTAGTTTTGTAGATTATGAACAAAAATTAAAGGAACAAATTTTGCAACCTTGTACGTTGTGGCTTAGAATATTTCAGTTTTTGAGCCGTTTTCCAGTAAATCGATCAACGCCAGTCAAATGTTTTCCTGAATGAGCTTAATAAGACATAGAAGCCTCAGCTTAAAGGGTAAGACATAATGACGTCTCACCACAACCTGACCTATAACGCTATGAGGGCAGTCAGCTACCTCACTTGGACAGTAAATCTCTCCAGTGGACTCTCAGCCAAAGATAATATTTGAAGCAGCCGTGTAAGCATCAACCTATGCTTCTCAGCTTGATTTAAAGGACCTCTTCCTAACAGTGCTGCTAATTTCAGCTTGCACATCATGGAGATGCTCGCTTTTCCAAGATCACCTTGTAAAAACCATGTCAGCGGGGCATGGGCTGAACAGGGAGAGGCGGGCTTCTCCAGGGTGAGTTTCGGTCTACTTAATATCATCTTCCTCAGCTTGAAAGCCACCAAAGGCAAGATTGCACAGTACGTCACCGTCCACGAGGAAATAGCTGAGAGTGAGACTGCAGGAGTCACGAGTGTGGAGCCATGCTTTTCCAGTCAAGTCACTAAGATATATGTCTCAAAGATATATTAAATTTGCACAATGGTGCATAGATCTACTGTGCAAAGTGCTGCTCAATCCAAAGTCTTGAGGATTCAAGTTTTTCAACTCACTGGTGACACTGGCAGGAGCGTGGAACCCTGTTTCCCAACACTATTTCCCTAGCTTTTAACACCATGATCTCTTAATTGCATGACATACATAATACCCTTTAAATGGGTAACTCTGATTTTCTACTGCTTATTACTCCCCGGTTTATTTGTCCTGCCGTCTCATTGAGAGGGTCAACGTCAAAGAGGCAGACAGCCCTTTCAGTAGGATCACCAGCCTGGTGACTCACATGTGGCACCAAGTAACCTGCTTGTTCTGCAAAAACAATATCATAGTGTGTGCTGTTTGCTTGGAGGTACTGAACACATACTAGAGATACTGAATAGGTATAGCTTGGAAATAACTGAAATTACAGCATACATATACTGTATACTTATTTATACATATATATAGTATATGTATATATATGTGTGTATATATATATATATACTGTATATATATATATATAGCCTAAGTTCCCTGTAAGTGATTTTTTTCTAAACTTGATTTATTTAATCCTGTCCCATATGGATCCATTTGTGTTTTTTTTGAGTTTCTGTTTCTCTGTGTTTTTTTTTAAGCATCCTGTAGCAACTTGACACGTGTCCTGCAGTGCATAATGGGAAAATCATTGCAGGGATTCTGCATGTCTGTAACGATACTAAGTGCAGAAACAGTCTGGGGTCTGGGGGCTTATACAATTTCACGCTCCTGGGGAAAATGCGTCAGGACACAAAAGATTGGATACGCCGTTGGGGGGGGGGGGGAGATTTGGGGGGGCTTTGAATTCACTCTGAAACAATGAGCTCTCTCTAGTGGGTGCCTCTTCTACCGGGGGAATACTATCCTAATGATGATACTTTTCAAATTCAGGACTGCCATTGCTGTTCACAACAGCTTTGGATAATGGCAGAGACTGAGCAAGTCTAGGTCTCTGATAACCAGCAGACGGTCACCTTACACTCCAATGAACAGGTGCCCTGCATTTACATACATGAACCCCCACATCGGTGTTCGCTTAAGCCCCTGCCGTTTTGTGACTTTGGGCACACTCATTTAATTCATTAAAAAAATAATAAATGTGACAATCAATTTAGACTTTTGAATTTTTTTTTCTCCGTCGACCTTCTTGGGTGGATAAACATGTCTGGAGAACTTCATTAGCATGTCTAACTTTTGTACTTCAGTCTACTAATAATATAAATTCAATATTTATATATTAGAAACTTGTATTAGAAACTGCTTGTTGACGGAACAGCCGGTGAATATACATGCTCATATTTTACTCATATTTATACATTTGGAGTATGGTATCTTCATTAGCAGAGCCTTACCATTAAGGTTTATTTAATTTAGTATTTAAAAAATAGGATTTATTTAATTTACCTGGTACTGTGGCTAAGGTAACTGCATCTCTGAGTTACTTGTAGTGTGTTTGTGTGTCCTCTGATGGACTGACATCCCATCTAAGGTGCACCCCAGTCAGGATAAATGCTCAGAAGACAGATGGATGGATTTTTCAGTGAGAGTTTAACCTCAGCAAACAACAATAAGCTGATCCATCAAATGGTCATTGCATTAGTCAAACACTACATGTTAACATTTAACCTAAGAATGTCTTTTCACATTTGTCGAGGTATACATCTCCCTCATGAATATAGTGTCAAGTTTTTCCTCTCTTGAGTCAGGTCATCAGATTGAGTGTAATGTTAGACCTTAATATAGCTGGCAAGGTGAAAAGAACTCATGTCAAATGGGCTGGTTTTCCAGGGTGTGGGTTAGGGAGAGAGAGGGTGTGTGTGTGTGTATGTGTGTGTGTGTGTGGGAAGGACACTGATTGCATGCTGCTGGCTTCTCCAGATGGAGGTGGATGCAGAAGAGCGGGGTCACCGCACACGCTCCAAAGGTGTCCGAGGTACGCATGCCTCCCTGTCCCAGCACCGGCCTCCCATTGTCACCTGTTCCCATCCCTCTGTGTTCCGGCCGGCCTCTCCCAGGTACTGCCTGTACCGTCCCGTATATCACAGGACTCACCGTACACATTCTGCTGCAAAACCGAAGACCAGCAGTGTCAAAAGATGCTGGGGGAATTTTATCATACTTATTTTTTGAAGGGGGGGATGGTCTGTAGGGACATAGGTTTTTGAATATTCCTGTGCTTTCCTAGTTAAATCTGCAGACTCAAAATGTGGTCCTGATGATTTTTCTTTCCTCTTCCTCAGTGCGTGCAGAGCCAGCAGCGCAGGAATTTTTCAGGTAGGGCTTATCTGTGGTGGGGGGGGGGGGGGGGGGGGGGGGGGGGGGGGG